CGAGCTTTATATATTAAAACTTCATTAACAAAAGTCAAATCCTCGACCAAATGTGATTACGATACTTATCTGTTGAATATACAGAGAAAGAGAAGGAGAATAAAAATTTAGGCGAGTTAACAGAAAAAAAATGAAATAAATATAAAAAATAAAATTTGTATGAGTTTATTGGTCTTGGAATATATGAAGCATGCTTTAATATCGCGGAGAAGCAAGACGGCGTTTAAATAAGAAAAATTTAGCAAGACAACTATGATTACAATTAATTCCAGATAGTGAAATACTTCTACTCACTCTATTCTATGGTTTTTTTTGTGCACTTTAAAAAATAAGTGAGCAAAAATCTATCCTAAATTAGAAGTGAACTCAAATTTAATTTAAAAACTCTTAGTTAATAGACAATAAGTTGGACGGTTAATTTTAATAATAAGATAAAAAAAAATATGATATTAAGTGTTTTCGTATACCATAAACATTTGGTAAGAAAAAAAAAATCTTGTCAAACTTTAGGGCCCTAAATATTTTTGTAAGAAATTCTAAAACTTTTACAATAATAGTACATGTATTTAGCCTGATGACCTAATTTTGACACCTAAGTTGTGGATATTCCATTGTTAGCTCCTATTGCGAATTCAATGTTATACTAAGTATACAGTGTTAAATGTCACCATAGGGACTGTATTAAAATATCTTTAATATTGGGATCTGTAACTTGATCTAAACTTGATATTAAACGACAATTGAACGAATTTAGTCCAATCTCATTCTTTAATACCCAAAACAAACATGCCATTATAAGAGTCTAACCCATCATATATCAATTTCAAAAAGGATTGAGCCTACACAGTCCCACTACATCTCAATCTGTTACTAAGATGCACCATTATTTCCAGTATAACACTATTTTGTCCCCATGCCTACCTGCAGCTAATATCTCAAACTTCCTCAAACAATGCTTCTTAGACATCATAATACAACAACATTTATGTTTCAGTAGCTTTGTTTTTTTTTATACTAGCAATAATTTCATGTTTGAAGACCGAGAATGGAAGTATATGTATATGAATTGTTGGAATTATTTGGCATTAGGAGACGTGTAATGAAAATAATATTTTTAAACAGGAAAAGAATTTTAGGAATGAATTTTATGCTATTAAATCAAAATATTTGAAGATTGAATTAAAATTTTAAATTTTTAACTGTAATATTAGATAGAAACTAGTAATTTGAATGGATAGAAGAAGATTTTTTCACTAACAGAATACGATTGGCGCTTCCATGATTGCAAGTTGAATGGTCAAGGGAAGAGAACAGTCCTTAACAAGAATGAGTATCAATTGGCGCTTCCATGAGATAATTATTGGATGTGACGTAAGGAAAAAGTAATGAGAATTGGCGTAGAAAGAAAAACAAAGATTTGAAGACTTGGTAAGTCTCTTATACTCGTAATAAGGATTAATATGATACCAAGAAATTATAATATATTTTAAAAAACCACAGATTTTCTTTAAATAATACTAATTAACTGATTTGTCTTGTTAAAATCGAATTATTTAAGTTTAATAGTGTCCTACCCATTTTTCATCGGATCGTGTCATTTTAGATTTTATGTCAAGATTACTAACCAATCATGCTCCTACTAATTTCTTGTTGGATTCGTATTGTGTTAGCATATCATGTCAGAAATGAACACTAATAAAAGAAATAATTTGTCTTTGAAAGAGGAAAAAAAAAAAACCTAACCACTGAAGACTTGGCAAGTCTTCTCTGGTTACTACAAACAAAATGCATTAAGTAATGACTCATTCAAGGCCACATGACTATAAATAAGAGCTTTTACCATGCTAAATCTATCAGCTCTCAACAAGCAATCCTTCAAAGAAAAGGCAATTTGCTTCACATAAAGATGGCCAATCACTTCCTTGCTACCATCGCCCTTGTGGCTCTGGCTTCCTCCCTTGCCTATGCCTCAGATCCTAGCCCTTTGCAGGACTTTTGTGTTGCTATCAATGACCCCAAGGCTGCAGGTATCTATCTGTTCTCTTTATTTTCATATTCAACATTACATGTTATGTGGGTTCATTAACTAATTCTAACTTGACAAAACTCCTAATAATGTTCATGCAGTGTTCGTGAATGGAAAGTTTTGTAAGGACCCTAAGCTTGCCACAGCTGATGATTTCTTTTTTCCCCCTCCCAACATGCCCGGTCTCAACATTCCCAGAAATACATCAAACCCACTTGGGTCGGTTGTAACTGCAGTAAATGTTGAACAAATACCAGGACTCAACACTCTTGGTATCTCCTTAGCTCGTATTGATTTTGGTTCGTATGGCCTCAATCCACCCCATACCCACCCTCGTGCCACCGAAATCCTTGTTGTCTTGGAGGGTACCCTCTATGTTGGCTTTGTCACTTCCAATTTGAACCCTGGCAACCGCCTCTTCACCAAAGTCTTACATGCAGGAGATGTCTTTGTATTTCCCCAGGGTCTCATTCACTTCCAATTTAACCCGGAAAAAACTAATGCAATTGCTTTTGCCGGTTTAAGCAGCCAAAATCCTGGAGTCATCACTATTGCAAACGCAGTCTTTGGCTCGACACCACCCATTTCTGTTGATGTCCTTACCAAGGCATTCCAAGTGGACAAAAACGTTGTTGAGTATCTTCAGAAACAATTCTGGTGGGACAACAACAACTAGAGAAGCTTTGCCATCTTCTACTTTTTAAAATTATTATAAGAATGAAGTGTGTGTGTGTGTGTGTGTTATGTTTTATGGCATTTGTACTACAAAGATTACTTACCCCATATATATAATAAATTGCTGAGCTCATTATATGTACGGTTCTTCTCTTAGCAAGACTTTCTCGTTATCAAATATTGCGTTTGTTATGCATGGTTCATTTGTTACAAAGATTTTATGTTGTTATAATAATGAAGTTTGTTACATGCTTGTGTGCGTAATATATGAACTCGGATTAACCGAATTACAAATATTATTTGTTGCGGCGACGTTCAGATATCCATTGTGAAATTTGTTGGGCTCTGATGGCTATCTTAGTTGAATCCGCAATTACATCTAATAGAATTTAATAAATTTAGTGATGCATGATTGAACATGAAAAAAAAAATTAACAGTACCCACTTATGGACAATAATAATGGATCGGGATCAATACATCATCTCACCAACGCATAAAGGGTATTGTATTTTTATACTATATCTTTAACTTTGTTAGCTATTATACTTTATTGCCAAACCACAAGTATTAAAGTGTAGGTTTTAAAGTATAGAGAAGTAAAGATTGCTGGAGCCAACAATTCGGTGGGGGGGGGGGGGGGGGGGGAGGATTATAATGGGACATTCAAAATTTCATTAATCACTTTTTATGGGTCGCAATGACATTTACGAAGACTCAAATATTTTAGTTGTAGATAATAAAATTTGTCGAAATTGGTCAAATTTAGGATTTAGATGATTAAAATCCATTAGTGTCATTCCGACAGAGATTTACTTTTCATGTGACGAGCAAGTCATTTCGTCAAATGGTCTACCAAATTCTCAATCAATTTGATATATGTCATACAAACTGCTCCGTCACCTTGGAGTTATATAATACTATTTGACGAAGTCTAAGAAATCTTTGTTTTCTATTATACATCTTAGTCTTTACACGAGCAAAGGTCGTTTGATTATCATAATAAACAGTGAACGATGGAGATGGATTTTTCCGCAGAGCAATTTCTATCATTATATATCAAAGGCACACACCTTCGTCATATGAAACCCCATGAGCAACCAATTTGAATTCGATGGTCGAGTAAGACATATATGCATGTATGTTTGTGGATTCCCAAGAAATTGCTCCCTTGGATTTTCAGCCAGCGTTAGTATAATTTTCTACAACGCATGGGTATTCTTGATAATGTAATCCTTGACTAATAGTGTCCTTTAAGTATCTACGTACTCAAGATTTTCCATTCAAATGTTCTTGGATTGGCCACCAATGAATCGACTTCGTGTACCGACTGCAAATGTTCTAATTCTTCTTTTTTATTGACTTTACCAATTTGATATGGGATGGATTGCAGTTGACCGTTAACACATTACACATATAGCATCATATATATGTAGTAACATTGAAATCCATGGACATAGCTACTATGCATTCCTTAATTTCTATTTAAAGACCCACGAGTTGAATATGGCTTTTCATATTGCTTTCACTCGGTTTTATTGGAACCCAAAAAATTCTAATGGTATAATACAAACAACTCAATCACGCATGATTAAACTTGACCGAACTTAGGGATTCAATGCTGATAAAAGAATGTTCCATTCGATCTGTAAATTGCCGATTCTAATTTCCTATCCTTTTGAGATTTAAAGCTAGTCTTTTACCAGCTAGGACAGCCCCAGATCTCATCTTACTACACCATCAGGATGCAATAAGCAATCTAAAATGCATTTTCTTCTTTTGTTTCGAGTATAATATATCCAGACAAGACTCTAAAGTCCGTTTGGCAGGATGGATGAGAAAATAGAAAGATGAAAAAATAAAAAGTTGAAAAATGGAAGTGAAACACTTTCCATCGGGAAGAATCATTCATTTCCTCAATTATGTTTGGTAAGAGAGAAGAAAAATAGAAAGAATTGAATTTTGGGAAAATCCTAGTTTGCCCCTTAAAAGATACAAATTTTTTCACGTTGCTCCCAAATGATTAATCTTTCCATATTGCCCCCTGAAAGACATTAAAAAGTTACAATATAGTAAATCATCATTTTTTCCGTTTGTCGTCCGTTTGGTTTTGTTATCACATGATTTGCACGTGATAATAGGTGGGGATGTATTGTAAAATCATTGTCTATGCAAAACCTTGACTTCATCTGCCCAAGTGATTTGGGTAATCTACTCTCTGTGTGTGTGAGAGAGAGAGATTTGGGTTCCCAGGTTTGTTCGTGGAAGAAGAAGATCCAGAAAGTAAGAGAAGAAGGAGAAATGCAATCCATATGTTACTATGGTAGAACACCCGAAACGAAGACATCGGGGATAGATTTGAACCCAGAAAGGAGATTTATCACATGTGCGAATAACAAGGTACGTTGTTCCATTATTCATCTTTAGTTGGTTTGTATCCATATTATTTAGCAAGATATTGGTGTTCAAGCAACTGATTCTTACAACTTGTATTTGATAAATTAGGGATTTTTTAAACTAGGGTTAGTTTTATTTCTTGAAAATTATGTTTTCTGCACATTAAACAACTTATTTACCAGTTTTAGTGCGTACTACTGATGGTTTTGATCAGTTTTGTTTCAACATTTCTTAAGGTTACAGCTAAGTGTGGTTACTTTCTATGGATTGATCCCCCAATGTGTACTAGATCACGCCAAATAATTCTGGGTTTGCTGCATCGTGTTACACGTTTGGAAGAGCAGTTGGAGCAATCTAGAGTAAGAGAGAGGATGCTTTGGTGCTGCATGATTGGTTCCTAGTTTCTCATTGTGATCATCTATGTATACATGAATGCAACTGATCGATATGGCTCAGCCGTGGAGGTTCCAAATGGAGATATTTTGCCATTGCAACTATTGTGAATGTGTATCCAGGAAGTAGAAGCTGATGGATGTTTTGCCATTGCAACTGTTGTGAATGTGTGATGGGTGAAGTGAAGCTAGGTGAAACTGATGAATTTTTTTTGCTAAATTAGATCTTTTCTTGTCTGTAATCTAATGATGGTTGTTGTAATAAAATATTGAAGTTATGTAATATTATGATTCATTGGTGAATTTGTGTACCCATGAATCAACCTAGTTTGTCATTCTACTAAAAAGTGCATATTCATTTCACAAAAAATGCATATTCATTTACCAAAAAATTGTTGCAGTTCAGCTACATTACAAATATGTATAACAAAAGAAACAACTAGCTGATATATTTTAACAAAAGAGACAGCTAGCTTGTATATTTTAACAAAAGAGACAACTATCTGGTACGTTCAACTTGTGTTCAACTTGCTGGTATGTTCAACTTGATTGTATTTTCACCTTGTGTTCAACTTGGTCTGGGATGAACTACATTCTTCTGTGGTAGACTGCTTGCTGGCTTCCAACTACCTTTTGATACATTACTTGGTGTATTCCAGGTTGATTTTTGTGATGCTGATGGTGTTCTCCAAGCAAACTCAATGGAAGTAGATTCTGATCGTGCTCTCCAACCAGATTGGATGGAGGTAGATGCTGATGGTGCTCTCCAACCATGCTGAATGGAAGTAGATGTTGATGGCTTCTTGATTGATTTGGTTGATACAATTGTAGGTTCAGATTGTGATCAATTGTTCCTCCTTCTAATCAGTTATTGAATAATAAAAATTAGCTCATTTATTAAAAAATAAAAACAGGCATGATAACAAACATAAAATGTTTCATATCTTGCAGGCAACTTCTGTTTGCCAATTGGAACATTCAATGTTGGAGATTGGGATTGAGATGGACGTGGACATGCAAAATTGGGGTTTCTAGTTTCTGAGTCAGTTACAAGTTTGTCCACCTTAACATAAAATATACATTAAAACTGAACTGTTCTTCTTAATTCTTGGACTTGATTATACAAGTTGCATTTGAGTTGGTTCTTCTTAATTCTTCACAGTAATCCCATAATAAACTGAATTGTTATTTGTCTGTGCCACTCACAATTGCCATTGCCTTATGTTTAGCTTTATATACCTTGTTTCTTCCTAAGTTTAGAACATGATCTTTTTGTACAGTTTCCTTGAAGGATTTCACGGACCATGTAGGGTTTGATCTCAATCTATCAACATATGTATATGCAATCCAGTTTGAAGCTATGTTACTCGGACGCAGGTGCGGGTATTGGGTGCGGGTGTGAATTTAGGTGTCTGATATCTCAAGTCAAAAAATTGTGGATACTAGGATATGGATCCAGATTTGGATATGGGTACTGGTATACGATCTAATTTTATTTTGTAAGAAATTATTTATGCATTGTTTAGAGTTAAAAAATTGCGTTCAAGAAACAACAAAATATAGAGATGTCATTATTTATTAATAAGCTTGATACTAAAATTTGGTGGCTCCATAATAGCAATTGATCTGGGTCTTAAATAGATCAAAAGGACCCAAAAATTTCAAACATTGTTCCCAGATTACATAACCCAAAACAGCATAAAGTAGTACTCATTAGTCTAGCCTACTTAAAAAGGAACTACTCCTTATTCCATCATACTTAATACTTAATACTTAGTCTAGTTGCAACTTGCAAAAAGACTTTTAATTTTCATCTTCATCTAGCTGTCCATCATGTGCCTTCACCCTCCTCACCATCCTCAAAAGCCATCATCTCCAACTCAGGTTCATCAAGAGAAAATTGTGCATGCTCTCCCACTTCTTGGCCTTCAATGTCAAACTCATCTCCACCTAAAAATTATCAATATATATATATATATATATATATATTATCGAAATGTGATATATAGTGCAGATACTTGGATTGTTAAAATAAAAATAAACTTACTTATGTCCCAATATTTTGAAGGTCCATCTTTGTACTCCTTGCTCTTCCTTGAGTAGGCGAAGATTGCAATGCACAAACACCAAGTCTTCAGCACGGCTAGTTGCTAGTCGATTTCTAGGATATGGATCCAGATTTGGATATGGGTACTGGGATACGATCTAATTTTATTTTGTAAGAAATTATTTATGCATTGTTTAGAGTTAAAACATTGCGTTCAAGAAACAACAAAATATAGAGATGTCATTATTTATTAATAAGCTTGATACTAAAATTTGGTGGCTCCATAATAGCAATTGATCTGGGTCTTAAATAGATCAAAAGGACCCAAAAATTTCAAACATTGTTCCCAGATTACATAACCCAAAACAACATAAAGTAGTACTCCTTAGTCTAGCCTACTTAAAAAGGAACTACTCCTTATTCCATCATACTTAATACTTAATACTTAGTCTAGTTGCAACTTGCAAAAAGACTTTTAATTTTCATCTTCATCTAGCTGTCCATCATGTGCCTTCACCCTCCTCACCATCCTCAAAAGCCATCATCTCCAACTCAGGTTCATCAAGAGAAAATTGTGCATGCTCTCCCACTTCTTGGCCTTCAATGTCAAACTCATCTCCACCTAAAAATTATCAATATATATATATATATATATATATATATATATATATATATATATATATATATATATATATATTATCGAAATGTGATATATAGTGCAGATACTTGGATTGTTAAAATAAAAATAAACTTACTTATGTCCCAATATTTTGAAGGTCCATCTTTGTACTCCTTGCTCTTCCTTGAGTAGGCGAAGATTGCAATGCACAAACACCAAGTCTTCTGCACGGCTAGTTGCTAGTCGATTTCTTTTCACACTTTGAATTACAGAATGGGTGCTCCAATTCCTTTCACAGCAAGAATAAGATGTTGGCTGTGAAAGCAATTTAAAGGCCAAGGCTTGTAGCAAGGGTGATGAAGCCCCATGATTGGCCCACCAAGAAATAGGTTCCTCAAACATTCTTACATCGACAACATAAGCTTGGCCGAAATAGTTAGACCAACTAGAAAATGCTCCATATTCAGCATACACCTTTCGCAAATCAGCTTGATTAGGAAAGAGCCTTTTAAAATACTCCCTCTATTTAGGGAGACTTCCTGATCTTCATGTGGTGCTACCCGTGCCACTCCATTACCTCCATTATTCAGCCAAGCATTACAATAGTACTTCGGGACCAATGAATGTGCCATACAATGCAAAGGAGTATTACTTTTGTTCCATCTCCCCTCCAAAATTTGGTGAACAACATCAAAAAAGTCCGATTGACCAATAATCATGTCTTTTCCTTCATGTTCAAAAATCCTCCTTTTGACATTGTCAATCATAGTATCCCAAATATCATATACTAGATGCAAAAATGGGGTGTTTGTGTCAGCTATTCTCAACATGTCAATGATAGGTTCAATAAAATTTAGAAGATAATCTAAATCATCCCAAAAAGTGTCATCAACAATGCATTTTTTCACATCACGAGCTTTATTTTCAGCAACTGTGTTTCCATCTACCCTATATGTTTTCCAGTTTGGATCCAAGACCATTTTTTCAAGAGATTCTTTAACTTCCCTTAACTGTTTAGCCATGATAAAGCTTGATGCAAATCTAGTTTCAGCCACAGTTAGCAATTTCAGTTTAGAGTACTTAGTAAATAGGAAATTTGTTGTGCCATGGTTGAGAATAAAATTATGAATATCTTGCACTTGCTTAACCAAGTCTAAAATCCACTTACGTTGGGCATGCTGAGGTGATTTTTCTACTGTGTCGCAGATGCTCTTCAACGCCAAGTTGAGACTGTGCATAACACATGGAGTCCAAAAAACATGTGGGTATTTGGTTTCAATGCTCAACCCCGCAGCCTTGTAGTTCGATGCATTATCAGTTACAATCTGGACCACATTCTCTTCTCCTAATTCCTTGATCATTTGCATGAACAAATTTGCAATGTAATCTACATCTTTGGTATTTCCACTAGCATCAATGGCTTTTATGAACATGGATCCTCCTGTAGATGCTGCTATTATGTTGATCAGAGGCCTCTGATGCCTATCAGACCACCCATCAGATACCACTGAGACACCTCTCTTATTCCACGTATCTTTGATTGGTTGCAACAACCTATTGACATGTTATTTTTCCTGGTACAACAAAGTTGTTTGCAGCCTATTGAATGTAGGAGGAACATAACCAGCCAACCTGCAATTTCCAAGGATTAGTATGTATTTCAAAAATAGGTGGGATCACTGGGATGCGCAAAAATTAAATAGAAATAGAAAGGATGAACATGACCCCATACCTCGAATTTCCAAGGGTTAGTGAGTACTTTCGAAAATAGGGAGACCTTGCAAAATTAAATGGCAAACCACTGGCGTAGAACATCCGAACAGTTTCTTTGTCAGCAACATCTCTGTCCACAACATTGAATGCCTAAGGTAAAGGACCTTGAGGGGCCATTCCCTTATGTTTTTTTTGTTGAAGGTCAGTAGCATTTGGTATGGTGACATAATCTGCCTTTTTCCTTGCATTCACAGCTTGTTGATGCTTTTTAGTTTTAGTTTCTTCATGCTCCTTTATGGCTTTCAATACATCATCACTTATGGTAGGACAACTTTCAACATTGTGGTGAGAAAGCTTCATCAGGTGGCCTTTGACCTTTGTGTATGACCCAGCAATTCTCTTATTGCAGTAATTAAACACCCAGATCCGATTTTCACCTCCACCCTCAGCCACATTGACAAACTTTACATGATTCCACAAAGGCTTATCGTCAAATGTAGCTCCTAAAGGCGTCATTGGACGATTGACTTTTTTGTTCCTTTAGAAGAAGATTGGGATGACTGGGATGAAGACATTTGTAGAGAGTTTAACCGTGATCGTTGCAAGAGAGGAGAGGATTTGACAGAGTATGGAAGCTTGTTCTAAGATCTCTGATTTTCGGTCAGAGACTACTGATTTTCAGTCAGAGACTATACTGTCTATGCATGGTCTCTTTGTTTTCCAAAGCTTTGTTCCATTCTCCCAGAATCACGTTGATGCTTGGGCTGCCATATCAAGGTCTCATAATCTTCCCTTATCATAGACCGTTCGCATGGCTTATCACAAGCCTTTCAGTTGATGCTTGGGCTGCCTTACCAATTTTTTATTTCTCTTTTTTTTTTGATTTGATGAATTAAATATTTATGAGATGAAATTCCATGTTACTTTAGTGTTAATTTAATAAATTAATTTTTTATTGGATAATTTTGGATGTTAATTTGATGAATTTGAATATAAATTGGATAATTTTGAATGTTAATTTGGTGTTAATTTTATTAATATTAATTGGATAAAATTAAATGTTAAGTTGGTGAATTTAATGTTAACTTGTTTAATTTCAATGTTAATTTGATGAATTAATGGTTAATTTGGAGTTAATTTGATGAATTGAATATTAATTGGATAAAATTTTACGTTAATTTGATGAATTTAAGGTTAAATAGTTGAATTTCAATGTTAATTTGATGAATTGAATGTTTATTAGAAAAAATATAATGTTAATTTGTTGAATTGAATGTTAGTTTGGTGTTGATTTGAATACTTAAATGTTTATTAGAAGAAATTGCATGTTACTTTGATGTTGATTTGATGAATTAAATGTTTATGGGATGAAATTCTATGTTGCTTTAGTGTTAATTTAATAAATTAATTTTTTATTGAATAATTTTGGATGTTAATTTGATGAATCAAATGTTAATTTGATGAATTTGAATATAAATTGGATAATTTTGAATGTTAATTTGGTGTTAATTTTATTAAATATTAATTGGATGGAATTAAATGTTAAGTTCGTGAATTTAATGTTAACTAGTTTAATTTCAATGTTAATTTGATGAATTGAATATTAATTGGATAAAATTTTATGTTAACTTAATGAATTTAAGGTTAAATAGTTGAATTTCAATGTTAATTTGATGAATTGAATGTTTATTAGAAAAAATATAATGTTAATTTGTTGAATTGAATGTTAGTTTGGTGTTAATTTGAATACTTAAATGTTTATTGGAAGAAATTGTATGTTATTTTGATGTTGATTTGATGAATTAAATGTTTATGGGATGAAATTCTATGTTACTTTAGTGTTAATTTAATAAATTAATTTTTTATTGGATAATTTTGGATGTTAATTTGATGAATTTGAATATAAATTGGATAATTTCGAATGTTAATTTGGTGTTAATTTTATTAAATATTAATTGGATGGAATTAAATGTTAAGTTGGTGAATTTAACGTTAACTAGTTTAATTTCAATGTTTATTTGATGAATTGAATGGTTAATTTGGAGTTAATTTGATGAATTGAATATTAATTGGATAAAATTTTATGTTAATTTGATGAATTTAAGATTAAATAGTTGAATTTCAATGTTAATTTGATGAATTAAATGTTTATTAGAAAAAATAGAATGTTAATTTGTTGAATTGTATGTTAGTTTGGTGTTGATTTGAATACTTAATTGTTTATTGGATAAAATTGTATGTTATTTTGATGTTGATTTGATAAATTAAATCATTATTGGATGATTTTTTTATGTTAATTTTACTTTAGTATTGAGTTTACATTTTACTTTAGTATTGATTGGATAAATTGAATCTTTATTGGATGATTTTGAATGTTAATTTGATGATTGAGTGTTAATTTGATGAATTTGAATATAAATAGGATGAATTGAATGTTAATTTGATATTAATTTGATGAATTGAATATTAATTTGATGAATTAAATGTTAATTTGATGAATTGAATTTTACTTTGATTAATTTAATGTTCAATAATTTGATGAATTGAATGATTATTAGATGAATGTTAATTTGAATGTTAATTTAATGAATTGAATGTTTATTAGATGAAATTGAATTTTAATTGGTTAAAATGAATGTTAGTTTGATGAATTAAATATTTATTGTATGAAATATACATAAAATATAGATAAAAACTGAAAAAATATTATGAACTAAATAGATAAAAGCTGAAAAATTAATGTTGAAGTCCAAAGAGGAAGGACTGAAAAGTAAAAATACAAGAACAGAAGAAATAATTTTATTAATTTTATACAGGTACGGGGATTCGGTCTAATTTTACTAATATTAAAATTATTGTATACACAATTTATATACACATAAATATTTAATTCTAGATATTTTAAAAATAAGGTATAATTAATAAAATGACTTGCAGTTATTTAATATACCAATTTAACAAATAATAATAACATAAAAGAATAATTATAAAAAGAAAAAATAATGAAGGGTATTAAATAAAATTAATGGTACTTATGTATGCTTAAAAATTAAAAGTTATAAAAAGGTGGGGTATTAAATATAATTTTTCATAGTTACAACTAAAAAAAATACAAAAGCCCAGTCGGCTCCCTCAATCACTAACGAATACAAACAGAGATAGAGAGAAGAGAGGCGAGAGGCGATGGGTGATGGGCGATGCGATGCTGATGCCGGTGCCGGAGAGAGAGAGAGAAGAGAAGAAGAAGAAGATATCTGGTAGCTCGTGGCTCGTGGGTCGCAGATCGCAGCGATGAAGACCTAAGTTCCAAGCCCTATATCTATGTGGATGGAGGTTAGATCTGCTCACATCTGGACTCAAAGAGGTAAGCTACTATACTCTTCTCCTTCAATTTTTGTTGTATAGTATGTATCTGTGTCTTCTCTCTCTCTTTGATTTCGTCTAGGTGTGCCTTTCTCTTTCTCTCTCTCTTCTCTTTGCTTTTTTTATTGTTTTACTTGGAAGATCTGGACCAGTGTACATGTGATTTCTAAAAAAATCTGAAATTTTTGTGTACATGTAATCTCTGGTTTTTGCTTTTTTGGGTGTACCCACGAACCCAGACGTTTCGAACAAATTGACACGAGATTTCGATGCTTGGTTCTTCTGTTCTTCACTTTTTCATCTTGAAACCCAGCCTTGAAACCCAGCATGTCCGGAATAAAGTTACTATATCGGACACAAATCACGCACCCATGTCGGATCATGTCAACACGGGTACTCCCACAAAAGAGGCGAGTCCGAGTAACATAGGTTTGAAGTGGTATGTTTAATGTTGAGAATTCTATTGCAACTATGGGAAACATTATATGTTTTAACTTGTATGTTGTTTTCACCTGCTATGCTGGAAGCAAATATCAACCACTCACAACCAGGCCTACAAACTGCCCTTATTCTACATTTATCATTTTTAATGAACCTTATCTCCTTAGCCCATTTGATTGCATGTTGCCTAACTGCAGCTCTAAACTCAGTTGTATTTTTGAACAACATACCTAGCTTAAATGGTGGATCAACCATGTCAATCCTAGCATTAAAGTGTGGATACTTAACCTTGGACTTTCCTCCTTCCTCACCCTCTAATGATGATCCACCAAGACTGACCAACTCATCTGTGTCATATTCTTCACCATAAAAATCATTATCATCCTGCATAATTGTGCCCCTGTCACCAACTTTTTCCCCTTTGGCAACTCCTTTGCCTTTCTCCATTCTTTTTCCTTTGGCAACTCCTTTGTCTTCCTCCATTCTTTTCTCTTTGTTAACACCAACAAATTCAACATCATGATCCACAAAAGTATCATACAATTCATCATCGTGCATGTTACACTCATTATCATAAAAGTATTCATACTCTAAGGACTCTCCGTATGAGTATGAGCCACTCATTAGAACTTTCAAAGTTTTGATTTTCCTTTTGATTTTCCACCAAACCACCTGCATTTGAATCAACTTGACTGTGGATAAACACATTTGGATTGATGTGCTCAACATAAACATCAATGACTCTATCGCTATCAACATAGTTAATCATTTCAAAGGTTTGTCTATCATTTTCTAACACTTTCCATCCATCAGTAGTTATATGGTGGAACCTACTCAACTCAGAGTATCGCACTTCCGTAGTCTTTAACATATTCTCCAACTCAATCAAAGAAAGATGGTCAGCTTCACACATATCTATATGATTTATCTTCCCGCCAATATAACGTTTCTTGCCCTTACTGTCCAATCTACCACCATGATGCAATCGAATAGTAAAATATCCACAAATATTATCTGCATATCTACCCAATCTTCTTCCCCAAATCTGGTCCCTTCTCTCTCTCTCTCTCTCTGTAGATTACCCAAATCACTTGGGTAAACGAAGACAAGATTTTGCACATACAATGATTTTACAATACAGCCCCTCCTGTTATCATGTGCAAATCACGTGATAACAAAACCAAACGGACGAAAAACGGAAAAAATGACGGTTGACTACATTGCAACATTTTAATGTCTTTGAGGGGACAATATGGAAAAATTAATCATTTAAGGGGACAAAGTGAAACAATTTGTATCTTTCAGGAGGCAAACTGGAATTTTCCCTTGATTTTTTTTGTATTTGATAAGGTAGAAAAAATATCATTCATTTCCTCCAATTTTTTATCTTTTTAACTTTTTGTCCTTTCATTTTTCCATCATACCAAACTACACGTAATGCTGCTAGTGACAAACTTCTTGTGGCAAATAGAAATATATTGGCAACAAAAGAAAGGTGTCAAGGAAAATCAACATTTCTTTTCATGTTAATAATTTTTATTGAGCATGTTATTATTTTTTCAATGTTACTTTTTTTTATGCTGAAGAATTGAAGGTTTTTTCCTCTAGTTATGGGTTTGAATATAACTAATTTTATTTTCAATTTTGTTCAATGTTCTATATTGCTATTTATTTTTTTTTTTGTTAAGCATATTATTGTTGTTGTTAAGCATGATACTATTTTTGTTGAATATGTTACTATTTTTGTTGAACATGTTATTATTGTTATTTTTTTAAAATATTAATATTGAATGTTAGTATTTTTCTTATGTTTAAATGTTGTTATTTTTTTGTGTTTAAATGATATTATTTTTTATATTAAAATGATAATTTTTTTTTGTATTTGGATGCTTTTATTTTTTATTTTTAATGTTACTATCTATATAATAAAGTACAATACAATTCAAATCTCAAAAGATAAACAAAATGACTTTTATTTTTCACGGTTGAAATATCTTTAAATTTTATTTTAAAATTAATCCGACGGCTAATATGAACACCCCAAATTTAATAAGGAAAATAAACTCTTAAGGGTGTGTTTAAAGTGAATATTTAAAAGTGCTTTTAGAATTTATAACTTCTCTTAAATACTTTTAAAAAAAATAGTGTTCGAAACCGTTCTACTACTACTACCACCACCACCACCACCACCCCACCTACTGCCTCACCACCCACCACCACCACAGCTACCCCCACCACCACCACCATCCCCACCGCCATCACCACTACCACTACCGTCACCATTGCCACAACCACCACTACCACACTCACTGCCCCACCACCACCACTATCACAACAACCACCACTACTACGACCACTACCGTTGCCACCCCACCACCACCTTTACCACAACAACCACTATTGCCTAACCACTACCACCGTCATCGCCACCACCACTGTTGCCACCCCACCGCCGCCACTGTCATTCTCCCATCATCACCCCCTACCACCACCACCCCCTAACGCCCTACCACCACCCCCACAACTATCACCATGCCACTCCATCGACGCCGCCACCACCCACGACTGATTGCTACCACCGTCATCCACCAATCATCATCGTCATCTTATTCTCATATTTATTACTACTATCACCAGCATTACACTATAATCGTTGTTCACCATCAGCACCCACCGCCACCACTATTGCCCATCACCATCAGTCGTCGCCCATAATCATCGCCAGCCACTATCATCCATACCCACGACATCTACCACCACCATCCGTCATCGTTCACTACTGTCGCCACTCATTGTCACCCACTCCCACCACACTTATCACCACCACTACCATCATCATTTGCCACTACCTATCACACTACCGCTCAAAAACACCTGTCGTCGCCCATCGCCACCATTGTCATTTCCTACCAACACCACCACCACAACTACCATCACCCCACCACCATTATTGTCAACCACCACCACTGTTGCCCACCACCACCCACACTCACCACCACAACTATCATCATCCATGGCTTCCACTGTCACTATCGTCACCCAAAACTCACCACCACCATAACCGTTGTGACCCATGGCTGCCATCATTATCACGGTTGTCACCACTCACCACCAACACTACCACCAGTGCTTAAATTTCTTTTTTTTTTTTTCTCTTTTTTGTTTGTGATTTGATTTTGGGTGTGAATAAAATATATTTATTATTGACCATTTTTTTTATTACTTTGTGCCTGAAATAACTTATATATATATATATATATATTACCAAAATATTACAAGTGCGGAAAGACATGAGAATTATAGGAGAATCACAAGCTGTAAATATAAAGAGTGGTGATGAATTTTACTATTGGAAAATTCTTCTTTTATGAACAAAATATAAATTACAATACAGAAAATAAAAATACTTACAACACTAGTACTAGTGGACTAGTGGAAGTGACTAAGGATAGAGTTCTACTTCTTCATTTGCATCATTATGAAGATTAGGGATACAATATGAGAGAAAAGAAAGATAGTGTGTGTAGTGAGCTTTGTTAGAGAAAAGCTTAGTTTGCTAGTGACGATTGAAGTCCTTATATAGGCGTAAGGATTTTTGAAGGAATCTCTGGAGTAATTACTTCATTGTCTCCTGTTGCTACTTTAACTCAGGTAAAGTGCTTTTCACTTTATCCTTTTGATGGAAAGTGGAGGTGAATTGCTTTTACCAAAGTAAGTCCTGACTTTCTAGGCAGGTGGGTCCTACTACAGTCCGAAGGAATCTACTTTCGGTGGAAAACAGATTTAAAAAATGGCTGATGGCTGCTTTACTAGGGGAAAGAGTCGTTGTACCAAATGATTCCTTATCGATATGTGTAATAGACAACTTTTCTTTCTTTATTGAAGAAAATAGTGAGTGATTACACATACAGACAAGCATCATTATGGGGTAGATATAACTACCAGATTATCATATCCTACAAATGGGTCTTGGGCTTCTTGGAAGGAATCCGTGGAAGCATTAACAGATCCTTGGGAGGATGGAGATAAACTATTTGCTGCTTGTTGAAGAAGCTGCTGTGCTAACTCAATTAACTCAGTCTTCTTCTTGGACTGTTTGCTAGAATCCTTAGAGGAGGATTTTCGCTGTTAGTGCTCTACTGTAGTGGATTTCTTGGGCTCTTCTGGAGTAGAAATTCTGAGAGAAGGCATAACTTGCTTGACTGGAGTTACAGGGGTTAATGTTGCTAGAACCGTTATTGGGGTTGGAACCTTGACTGGGAACTTCTGTTTAACACGATCAATAATTGGTCCTTGTTGGAACCGGGGCTACCATGTAACATAGAATTGTCTGGCGACATTGAAACCAATAATTTCTCATTTCCATTTACATATCCATGAGACTTTGTGCTTGCATATAAATGTTAATAAAATAGGAAACTGACTCTCATGTTTACTAGGTTTAAAAACAGAGGAGAAAGCAATAATATGATCTTGAAGATCAGCTGGAAAGATTTCATGAATGGGGTCGTAAACAAACCATCATTGTGCGAATCAGGACGAAATTTAGCTCTTGAAATCTTTATGAAATTGTATGAACCAGGAGTGGTTTAAAGAATCATCCTGATATAGGATAAGTTTAAACCATGATTCTTTATAATCATAGTAGTTAAACTGTTTATTTTGACAAAGTAGATCTCGGAGTAAAGAAGGATGAGATCCCAAATCTTTGAAAGAAATAATCTTTAAAATATTTAAAGAGTGATAAATAACTTTACTGGGGTCGTTTCTATCAGTTATAGGTTTGACAAAAATTGACTGAGTAAAGAATAATATATCCTAATAGAAACTAAATGTTTTTTCAGGATCAGATGGAAAAAAGGTCCATCCCGGTTCAAGGTATGCATTGACAAAATTCATTGGGTTGCTTAGGTGAGCATGGACTGGTTCAATGGCAAATACATTTTAGGTATAGGCTTTGATGTAATCAACCTTTGGGCCTTTGTGGGCTAATTGTGGTTGGTGATGAGAATATGGGTTAACAAGCTGGCTAGATGTACCAGGTTTAATCGATGAAATAGGTTTTGGGGCCTGTTGAGCCATTTGGAGGAAAGTACTAGTGTTGACTATGGTTCATTTGGCTACTGGCCTTGTTGGGTTAGGATTACCAAAAGGTTGAAATCTGTTGGTAATTTGAATACCAAAGGATTGAAGATTTGAGCTTGGCAAGGCTAATTGTTTGTCAAGGTTTGTCTTTTCTTGGGCAAATATTTGACTTAGTTTTTGTTTTCCAGTATCCCTCCCGACTTTGGAAGATGTACTAGGTTTACTATCTTTCCTGTCCACCATGAGGTTCCTGTAGAAATTCACGGGTTAGGAAATCAGGAATGTAGTTATTACTACCTCTAATATATTCGATGTCAAAATCGAAAATACTTAAAATAGATTATCATCTGGCAAAAAATATGCTTACTAGCAATGTTTTGTGCGTCTTTTTCTAAAACATACTTCGCTGATTTGCAGTCTACTCAGACTAGGAGTTTCTGATTTAGTATATCATCCTGGAATTTTGAGATACACAGGACAATAACTAAAAATTCTTTTTTAACAGTACTATAATTTGCTTGTGCTTTGTTCCAGATACTAGAGTGAAAACGAACAATTTGCTCTGGGGAGTCTGGAGTGAGCTTTTG